TCTTTCTACTGTACCTTGGGGAAGGGAGACCTTTTTTTTTTTTTGGAGAGGTTTTTGCTGTAGGGTGCGTGAGCTTGCCAGAAAGACAGAGAGAGACAAAGAGACAGAAAGCAAGAAATCATCCCCCCAGGAGGGATGACCACACTACAATCCCTTCTCCTCCATTTTCTTCTCGAGATCTTGGGCATGCACGCATACGTGCCTGGCATAAGTTTAAGCCACCAGGTCTGGGACTCAAACCATGTTCAACTACATGGGAGTCCAGCGACAAAGCCATTATGCCAGCTGCTGGTCCCAGGGAAGGGAGACCTTGAGGCTTTCTGTATCTATTGCCCATAAAGAGATAAGGTTGAAAATTCAAATGCAAAAGGAATAATATGACATATTAGATTAATCCAAGTTGGCTTGGATCTCCTGGAGATATATGAGTTGTTTCAAAGGAGAGGAAGGTAGTACAAAACTTATCGAGAAGATATTAAATGGCACCCAGGCAGCAAGAAAAGATTATGGAAAATGCACAAAATCCAAAAATCTTTAATATAATCATCACCAAGGTCTTAAAACATGGGAGAGGGATTCAGAAAGCTCACAGAAAGGGTATATTATTTAAAAAGCTATGTATGGATTGCAAAAATGGTTTGTACCAACATAAACTTGTACTGTAATTTCATTTTCCCAAAAACTTTTGAATCCCCCTTGTATAAGCAAACAAAAGTCATCTAAGTAAATCTTCCTTAACAATCAGTAAATCTCCTAACACTGTGTACATGTGAAAAGAACTAGCAATTCTTCGTTGCCAGTTCAAACTAGGACAGGTTATTAATGCTTTCACATAGCTAATCTCTAACAAATAGGCATTTGTTGGTTGATGTAAAAGGAGCTGGCAATTTCCAATGGTGGCTTTTTCTGGGTAAGTCCATATTTCAACACCACTCCTGGCTGCCAATGAGTGTCAGTTTCAGCAGAAATTACTCGATCCCAGGGTAAGGTCCTCTCAGGAGTGGGATGGGGCACTTATTGTGGGGAATCCACACCACAGGCATCTACCCTACCTACAGAGAACAAGGTTTTTCTGAAATCAATGGCTTTCCGTAAACATTACCTTCCATGACAAAACAAATAGCCAACCACCACCAACAACAAAACATGAGGAAGAGGAGAGATTTTGTTAGAGAATCACGTTAAGATCTGTCTGGGCATATGAGAATATAATCTTGAAGTTATTATTAATCTTCACTCATTATAAAAGATTTCTCAAAGTGCTTGCTATTTCTAAACTAGTTGAAGCCTTTAGCCTTTCTTCCTGCACCACCTTAGAGTGGCAGTTAATGAAATACAAAATAAAAGACTATGTATAATTCCAGAAACTTCCACAATAAAGCCATGTTGCACAATAAAGCCACCAGATGGACAGCCTCATCATGGCTCAGCTTCTTCAACCTTTCACTGACTCCTCATTCAACAATTCTCTTTGATTTTTCTCCTGCCTCCAAACTCTACTCTCTATTCCAGGAAGTCGGCCTACCTCCTCTCCCCTGAAAAAGCATCTTTTTGGAGAAAGAGGCATTCAGCCCTCCTTAAAGACTAACCCGTTGCTTCCTACCGTGCCCCTGGTATCGTCCTCTCCTCTAGGATCTCCCTCGACGATGACAATGTGCCTATAATAAATCTGTATCTTTGACAAGCCTCCTTGTCCTGCCCAGTATCCAGGTCCCGCCTATTGCACATCAAATATCCCTAGAGTCTACCCTTTAATGGCACTCATTTTCTCACTGCCGACACTCAAGCCATCTTTTCTGCTCTCCTGGATGGTGAAGATGTCCACCCCCCAACTGCTCTGCCTCTGACTGCTCCCTTTCCAACACATCAGATCTAATATGCCAGGCTTCATTCTCTGACATACAGCTCTGACCTTCACTGTCCTACTAAAAGAGCTCTGATGGACTAATTATATGCTAAACAACATTCAAAATTCCTATAATGGCTTTTTTTGTTTTTGTTTTTGAGAGGTTTTCGCCATAGGGCACATGTGCTTGCCAGAAAGACAGAGACAGAGACAGAAAGCCAAAAATCACCCCTCAGGGGGGATGGCCACGCTGCAATTCCTTCTCCTCCATTCTCCTCTAGGGATCCTGTGCATACACACACACACACCTGGCGTGAGTTTAAGCCACCAGGTCCGGGACTCGAACTCCCGGAGTCCAGCAAAGTAGCCATTACACCATCTGCTGGTCTCATCTATAATGGCATTCTAAGCTTTCCAGAAAGCTAGTCTCATCAATTCATTTTATTTCTAAATTACACCATACTCTCTCAAATAAGAGAAACTCATATGATATACTGGTGCTACCGCTTACTGAATGCTGACCAAGTGTCATTCATTCTGTTGCTCATTTTTAAGTTATTTATTTTTGAAGGTCCACCATGTTTCAGGTACAATTCTAGGTACCAGGAATGCAGCACTGAACCAAAAGCAAAAAGCTTTGCCTTCACAGAGCTTTCAGTTCAACTGGGGAAGATGGACAATAAGCAAGTAAGTAAATAAAATACTACATGGCTTACTAGGTGGTAATAAGCGCCAGGAAGAAAAATAAGGCCGAAAATGAATGGCAGTAGAGAATTGTGGTATGATTCTTAAAAATGTTTTTGCCATAGGACGCGGGAACTCAGAAGAGAGAGACAAAGAGAGACAGTGAGACGGAAAGTGAGGAATCACTCTCCAAGGGGGGTGGCCACACTGCAATCCCTTCTCTATTGTCTTCTTGGAATTTTGTACAAGCACACACAGGTGCCTGGCATGAACTTCAAGCCGCCACGTCTGAGATTTGAACTGTGATCAGCCATGTGGGAGTCCAGTGCCTTAACCATTATGCCACCTACTGGCCCTGGTGGTATGATTTTAAAAGGCTGATTAGGGAAGGATTCACTGAAGTGACATTTGGACAAAGATCTAAAGAAAACAACTGAACATCCCATGAGGAATCTGGAGAAAGACAATGCCAAGAAGAAGAGGAGAAAGCTGCCAATCTGAGACCACCCCACGTTCAAATACTACCAACACGGCCAGGGTTACTGCAGTAAAGTTTGGGAGAAAATAGCAAGACAGAGAAAGCAGGGCCTAGGCCGTGTGGCGCCATTGCATCGGTGAGCTGAAAGCACTGGACAGCTTTCAGCAGAGGCGGGTATCTGACTTGAGTTTTAAAATAATCACTCTTGCTGGTGTGGGCCCAAGAAGTTAGAGGGCAAAGACAAAAGCAGAACTAGGCCAAAAATGGTGATGGCTTAGACCAGGGTGACTGTACTAGAGGAGAAGATCTATTAGAAGATTAGACTGTGGGGTATGAGGAAAAAGAAGGTCATGGATGGCTTTGGTTTTTGGACCAAGGAACTGGCAGGACACAGGAGCAACTTCTCATGAAGGAAAGACAGTGAGAGGAATACACACATAAAGAGGAGGAAGATCAGGAGCTCGGTTTCACACATGGCAGCTTTGAGAGACCTATGGGGTATCTGGGTAAACTTGTCCATTAAGCAGTTGGATATTTATCTGCAACTTCAGTGGCTGGGTGCTCACTGAAGACATAAATGTGGGCATCATCAGTGTAGAACGATTTTTTTCCGATTTTATTTATTTATTTAAATTAGCCAGAGGGCACATGTACTCTCCAGAGACACACACAGAGAGAGAGAGAGAGAGAGAGAGAGAAAGCACCCTGTGTGGGGGATGGTCATGCTGCAATCCCTTTTCTTCCATTCTCCTTTCATGATTTTGGGCACACACGCACATGTGCTCAGTACATTTTTCAAGCCACCAGGTCCAAGACTCAAACAATGGAGTCAGTCATGTGAGACCCAGCCATATCACCAATTGGCCCAAGATTGTTTTTAAAGCATGAGATCAGATGAGTGAATGTACATGGAACTGAGCCTCTGGAACACCCTGATGTTTAGAAATGTGGAGATAAGGAGAAATCAGTAAGAGAGGCCAAGCAGCAGCAGCCAGCAGGTAAGGAACAACCGGGTACTGGGATATCACGAGAACTGGGAACTAACAACCGAATTTAGCAAGGTGGTGGTGGCCTTGATAAGAACAGTTTGGGGATAGGGCTGGGACAAAAGCTGACTCGAATGGGTTCAAGAAAGATTTGGATGAGAGGAAGGGTGACAGTAGGCAGAGACAGGTTTCTCAAGGTCACATAACCACGTACTGAGCTGTGTGTGCTTGACAGGCTAATGAAGTGAGAATTCTCTTAATCCTTACATCAGCCCTATGAAGTAGGTGCCATTTATTACACCCATTTTTACATGTAAAAACCAAGGCTCAGGGAAGGTCCAATGTCAGAATCTGTGAGTTGCAGGGACAGGACCCCACCCCAAGTTTGTTCTGAGTCCAGATCTATGGCAGGTGACTCTGTGCTGGAACCACTCACTCTCAAGTGAGGCAACTTTGATCTATTTCTGTTCCCAGGGACCTACTGCTTCTTTAACCAGGTCCTGTACCTTTAAAGCCAGCTTCTTTCGGAGACATCAAAGCAGATTCCCATTTTCCTGGTCAATAGCCTTAGTGAGCTTGCCAGGGCTCCGCAACAAGTAGAGTCACACTGACCTGAGTTAGGAAGCACGGATCCTTTGCCGTTCTTCACATCCACCACCCAGGTGGCTTCCTTACCCCCGGGGCCATCCTTCACTTTGAAGGCAAAAATACCTCCAATTTTCTTCACAAACTGCTCCCCTTCCTGGAAAGAAGAACAACACTGGGAGTTACATGAAGTACACTTCTCTGGCACCCTTCCCAAGCAAAGTACTGTTTAAATAGATACATGACATAAGCAAGTCCCCAAGCCCCCTCAGGATCCATTACCCAGAAGTCTAAAAGGCAACAAGGCAACAATCCCACCTCCGCAGAAAACTTTTCTCAAAAATGGCTTTTTAAATGCAACTGGTGGGAGAGCCACCCAGATGGCATGGTGGTTAACATGGCTGGATCCCACATGGTTGACTGCAGGGAAGTTTCTCCAGCTGCTGGGTCTAGGACTTGAACCATGTGGTTGGCCATGTGGGATCCAGCTGCCTTAACTGCCAGGCCACAGAGCCAGGCTGACTCCCATTTCTATATCCTTGGTACCTAGAGTAATGTCTGACTTAAAAAATGTTTCAGGAAGGAAAGACAAAGTGTAGCGAATGAGGAGGGAGGAGGAAAAAGGAAGGGAACAGAGAGCAAACTGCTCTGCCCAGGTATGAATCTGAGGTTATGTCTGATTCATAAGGATATTCTTAGGCATATTTTATATGGCTCTTATTAATTATATACTTTTTCACTATATTTTATTGGCTCGGTTATTGCAAAAATATAGAGAATACATGATCTATTTATATTTATTTTAGAACCAGCCATCCTTTGTGTCTTCTTATACTTTATAATAGCATAAATAGCGCCTTAACCACCACGTCACCTGCTGGTCCCGACAATACCATAAATTTCTAATAGTTAATTCCCACTTTATTTCAGCCTTACATCCCTCCTTTAATTTATATCCATAAATTGAAATAATAACATTCATTTTTTTAACAAAATGTATACTATCTTTAGGAACTGTGGTAAGTATTTGAAATAGTCAGATAATTACTGCACCCAAGGAATGACCTGAGATCTAGCTTCTGTTTCTACGTATGCAGAGTTTGTACCTTCTCCTTGCTGTGTTTTGTTTTGTTTTTGTTTTCTGGTTTTGGAGAGATTTTTTGCTATAGGGCACATGTGCTCACCAGAAAGACAGACAGAGACAGACAGAAAGCGAGAAATCACCCCCACAGGGAGATGACTACGCTGCAATCCCTTCTTTTTCATTCTCCTCTCAGGATCTTGAGCACACATGCACACGTGCCCAGCATGAGTTTAAGTCACTGGGTCCGGGATTTGAACCTCATTTTACTTCATGGAAATCCAGTGACATAGCCATTACGCCAGTTGCTGGTCCCAGCTGAGTTTTGTTTTATAACAGCAACTGAGATATAGTTGACATCCCATAAAATTCACCCTTTTAAAGTATACAGCTCAGTGTGTTATTTTGGTATATTCAGAGGTGTACAAACAATATCACTATCTAATTATCAAACATTCTCAAACCAACCCATGGCCCAGTGGTTAAGGCACCTAGATCCCACATGGTCAACTACACAGTTTGAATCCCAGACCCAGTGGCTTGAAAAATACACTGGGTACACGTGTGTGCACATCCAAAATCCGAAGGAGATAAAGCGGATTGTGGCATGCCCCATTGAGGATGTTTTCTCTCTGGCAAATGCACATGTTAAAAAAAAAAAAAAAAAAAGAACTGTAGAACATGCTCATTACCCCCAAAAGAAACTTGTACTCATTAGCAGTCACTCCCTTTTCCCTACGAATCTAGAAGTGGAATTGCTGGGTCATAAGAAAATATTTAACTTTTGGAGGAACTACCAAACTGTCATCTTATATGGCTATACCATTTACAATCCTACCAGAACGAATTAAGGTTCCAATTTTTCCATTTCTTCACCAAAAATTGTTATAATCTTTTTCATTTCATCATCTGTATCTACCTTTTTCTTAAATATAATTTCTCATTCCTGAATCAACATGGGTCTTAGACAAAAGCAGCTGTTCTAGTTAAACCAAGAAATCAAAGAGCTTACTCAAATTATTTTAAGTGAACTTTTGGAAAAATTACTAACAATGACAACAATAACCTTTAACAGTTTTAAGTACTCTTACATACATAATTTCTTTAATCTTCAAAAAACACTCTAAGTAGCTGGAAGGTATTAATATTATTGATAGTTTATTAAGCAGAAAAAACAACTGAGGCTCATCATGTTGAGAACCTTCGGGACCAGCAGTTAGCGTAATGGCTATGTCGCTGGACTCCCACATAGTCGACCGTGGTTCGAGTCCTGGACCCGGTGGCTTAAACTCACACCGGGCGTGTGTGCGTGCATGCCCAAGATCCCGAGAGGAGAATGGAGGAGAAGGGATTGCGGCATGGCCACCCCCTCTGGGGGGTGATTTCCTGCTTTCTGTCTCTCTCTCTCTCTCTGTCTGTCTGGCGAGCGCACGCGCCGTATAGCAAAAACCTCTCAAAAAAAAAAAAAGAACCTTCACACTTTTTTCTAGGCTGGTGCCAGACAGCGGTGTTGTCTGCACACCATCAAACACTAAACTAACCTATCTACTTTCAATACATTCAGGCTTGAACTTCTTAAATGGTTCCCTCCAGCCAACAGGATGATCTGTCTTTATACATAATTTAAGAGTATTCAGGATATGGAGAGTATTCGTCTGCTCTAACCTCCTGCCACTTTCTCATCCCCCTCATGCTTTAGGTTCTAACAATACTGTTTGCTTTTAATTCCATAAACACACGTGCCAAGTTCTTTTATGCTTCCATGACCTTACACGTGTCTATTGAGGATGATCGCCTCCTATTTTCCACTGCCACACCTGACCTCATCACTCAAGTCTCAGTCCACATGCTAACTCATCTGGGGAAGGCATTTCTGTCTCCACCAAATACTTCAATAGCTCTCTTCACATGCACCCGTATTTCTTGTTAAAGTACTTTTCTTCCTAGAAAAATTTCACCACATCTCTCTTCCCACGAAATCTATGTTTCCTAACAGGTAGGGACATATAGCCAGTAAGTACTACAACCAGAACTCAATCCCAGGCCTAATTAATTTCAAATTCAACACTCCTTCCATCTGACCAAGCCATACCGTAACTGCAGGTTACATCAATATTACCAGACTTCAGCCTAGGCTAGCAGAGCAATATCTGTCACTATAAAATGAATAAAAGGAAAGTTCAAAGTCCTTTTCCACATTCCCTGAAATCTGTTCTCTCTCAGTGTGGAGTACCAAATGACCCTCTTCTAAAATCAGACCCTGTGGTCAATAAAACATTTTCAGTTTGTAAGTGGGAGTAAGAGAGGATAAGGAAAAGGATGAGGAGACAGTTATTGATGGTGTGCTGGGCCACCCAAGAGCCAGGCTTTCTCCGGGGCAGGCAGCCCACGAATGCCTACTTCCAGGTGCATCCATGCCATCTGCTTGCACAATCCCCTGGGAACAGAGCTATAAGCAGACACCAACAAGTCAGAGCAGGAAAACACTAGCAAACATTCAGAAACTCTACCTACTTGCTTGAAGACAAATTCCTGCGATCTATTTCTCCCCCTCCTTAAGACAGATGTAGATTAACCTGCACTTGCTGCTACTTTGGAGAACCAGGCCACCCTCTTCTAAAATCACACCCCCTTGGTCAATACAGCATTTTCAATTGAAGTGGGATTAAGAGAGGATAAGAAAGGCGGGGCTGGGGGGGAGTTAAAAGGGAAAGGAAAATGCCCTTGCGAAATTAGAGACCATTAGCACTAAGAGGTCCTAAGTGCCTCCTTGCTGAAGAAAAGCACTACTTTCTGAGTAGGCAAAAGGTCAAGGTGGAGGTCCTGTTGTAAACTTAATAGGAACAAAAAATTAAGACAGAATTCAAAGAAGGGCAACGGAGTATTGCTCACAAAGACAAAAGTAGAAATAAAATCTCTTGCCAGGCTGCCTTTGCTAATGCAGAAAATGAATGAATTGACAAAAGATTCCAAGACTTTCACTTTCTAGTGCTACAAACACTTAGGAAACTGACAATCGTGGGAAGGAGAAAAGAAACAAGGGGACAAGGTCCATGGGGGTGAGGTTATGAAGGAGAAAGGAATTAAAATGGGACCCAGAGGCACATACCTGTGAAGCTACAAGAATACTGCAAAATAAAACAGCAAGGCTTTGTCAATCTCAATAATATTCAATGGCTGACATACAGTTGTACCTCATACCTCACATGAGATAATCTCTAATTTTCATGTGTTATTATTTTTTATAATAGGGTTAAAAAAAACCCAGCAAGTCAGGGCTGGCAGGTGGTGTGCTGGTTAAAGGCGCTGGACTCCCACATGGCCAATTATGGTTCAAGTCCTGGACCTGGTGGCTTGCTTTCTTTCCCTCTCTTTCTCTCTGTGTCTCTCTCTGGTCAAATAAAAATAAATGAATAAGTTTTTTTAAAAAATGGTCTCAAGAACACTTCGGCCCACAGGCAGTAGCATAATGATGTGTTGGAAGCTACATGGCTGTTGCAGAAAATCAGATGCTGGGGAATGGGAAGACGC